TCTCTGTCTTTCTGTCTGTCTGTCTGTCTGTCTGTCTGTCTCTCTCTCTCTCTCTCTCTCTGTCTCTGTCTCTCTCTCTCTCTCTCTCTTTCTCTTGTGTTGTTACTCTCTTGTAGCACCTCTAATCTTCGGCATATGTATGTCCTTATTATGTTGCAAGTGCCGTAAAACTTTTACTAAAACTAAAATCTTCATTGTGCTATTGGGAGTGAAAAACACTAACAGTTTTCATTCATATTCATCAAATTGTAGGCGTAGATGGCCTTGTGGTTAGACTACCGGACTGGTAATCGTGATGTTACGGGTTCGGGGTTCGAGCCGCGGGCCCAATGTTGTGTCCTTGGGAAAGGCACTTTACACGAATTTTTCCTCATTTCACCCAAGTGGGAATGGGTACCCGGCCATAGACAGCGAAAGATCTTGTCAGTATGTTAGTGTTTTAGCGCCTATAAATGGCTGCTTGCACTGTATGCTTCCCAGGAAGTTGAGGTTGTTTCAGAGTGCTCTCAGGTCTGCTGGGGTAATAGTATAGATTGTGAAGCGCATAGAGCTTGCTGTTGAGCGGGGATTTGCGCTATACAAATGCTATCTATTATTACTATTGTCAATGAGAAGATAATTGGCCATTTTATATGTAATTTAAAAAAAAAAAAATTCCCCCCTCAGTGCCACTGACTGTAGTGTCTTTAGGCCATTCCCAAAGGGGGGACATTTCTCGTTCTAGTGCACAGTAAATGGGCTGATTCATGTCACGCTCATAACTATGCCTGATCTACAACAGGGAACTGCTGCTTTTTCTCTCTGGTGACCTGCTATTTCCGGGGATAGTCGAAGCACACTTTGTGCTGTTGAAGCTAGAGAGGTGAGCAGAATAAGTCTGATTCCATGTAAAGACTTCTGTGTTGACACCCATCCCTTGGCGCTCATATGACCTTATGCAGTTTCGAGCGCCGTAAAACCTTCTACTATAATTAAAAAAATAATAACTTTAAAATAAAAATTTTAAACACTTTATTCTTTCAGACATTAATTTTTTTAAATGTTTAAACATTTGTTTCTTGCAGACACGACGCCCCACGCCCCGTACAATGTGACAGTCCTCCCCGGTCACTTCAACGTGACCATACGGTGGGAGCCGGCATATGACGGGGGCACACCCCAACATTATCTGCTCTGGTACGTACCGTCTGTCTTCTGTTTTGTGAGGGAATATGTGTGTGTGTGGCACGCCGCAACACTATCTGCTCTGGTACGTACCTACTGTCGTGTGAGGGCATATGTGTGTGTGTGTGTGTGTGGCACGCCCCAGCACTATCTACTCTGGTGCGTGCCTACTGTCGTGTGAGGGCCTATGTATGTGTGTGTGTGTGTGTGTGTGTGTGTGTGTGGCACGCCCCAACACTATCTGCTCTGGTACGTACTGTCTTGTGAGGGCATATGTGTGTGTGACCGGTGTGTGTGTCTGTGTGTGTGAGGGCATATGTGTGTGTGACTGGTGTCTGTGTCTGTGTGTTAGGGCATATGTGTGTGTGACCGGTGTGTGTGTCTGTGTCTGTGTGTGAGGGCATATGTGTGTGTGACCGGTGTGTGTGTCTGTGTGTGTGAGGGCATATGTGTGTGTGGGCATATGTGTGTGTGACTGGTGTGTGTGACTGGTGTGTGTGTGAGAGAGCATATGTGTGTGTGTGGTGAAGTGGTCATCCCCGGTCACTTCAACGTGACCATACGGTGGGAGCCAGCATATGACGGGGGCACGCCACAGCACTATCTGCTCTAGTACGTACTGTCTTGTGAGGGCATATGTGTGTGACCGGTATGTGTGTGTGTGTGTGTGTGTGTGTGTGGTAGAGCGGTCATCCCCGGTCATTTCAACGTGACCATACGGTGGGAACCGGCCTACGACGGGGTTACGCCACCTCCTTTGCCCCCTCCTCTGGGCTCCTGACTCTTTCTGCAGCCTTTCCACTGCTACTCCTTGGCTCCTCCTTACTGCTGTCTTTCTGCCACACCCCTAATCTTCTGGTAGGAAAGATCTACACCTAGCCTTCTCGGACAAGGGCGAAAAATCTCGGAGGGCCCGTGTGCAAGTTGCGCAC